TACGGGCCTTTTCCACAGAAAAGGGGAATCTTGTCTTACAATAGAAGCAGAAGTGATGTGGATTATTCAAGAATCGAAGTCCATTTGCTTTATAAAAAGAAGATATCAATGAACTTCTATGAAATGGTTTCACAGGATTCAGCCAATTATCTTGATTCTGGAATAGCATTGAGAAATAGGAATCCGCGTTATCAAAGGATTTCCTGCGACTCTTTCTAGTATGGAATGAGTCAATCATCCACTTTGGTATCTTATTGAACAAAAAGGGTCTTCCTCCCGCGATCAAGAATTTCGATTTTCGGGAAGTCTCATGATCATCCAATAACGGTTGCCGTTTTTTCAAATGAACAACTTGAAGACCTATTTCTACCAACTGATTGCGGAGTTGATCATTCGGATCTTTCAATTCATAGGTGTAGATCTCGGACCTATGAATGGGGATATTCCCCAAACTCACACAGAACAAAGGAAGTGAGTTAGACAAAAAAAGAAGTGACTTGGACAAAAAGAAAGGAAGTGGCTTGGACAAAAAGAAACGAAGTGGCTTAAACAAATCTTTTTTGTCGATAATCTCAGACCAATCAATCGAATATGTTTTAATACGTAATCGATCGAACACTATTTGAAAACGGCTCTTCTGTTCAGAAAGGAAATGTTCCAAATGTTCCTGAAAATTCTTGCTCCCATTGGACCATTTGTATCTATATGCATCAGGATCCCGATTCATGGATCTCTCTGTTCGAGAAATCAAGATAAGAGGATCGAACCGTTTCTTCTGACTCTTTTTCAAATTCGATAAATGTTGGTTGATCGCATATTTCATTATAGTTCTATGATTCAGAGTATCCTTTCCTATTTCATCCCTTTGAATTCCATATTCGAGGTTGCGATCGGATCTATTCATTAAAAAGAATCGATTCAATACATTTCTTATGTATCCATAGGTACTATATTGGATTTGAATCAGATTTCGGATCAATCTATATTGATTGACTGCCTCCATTATGTTGTTGCTAGCAAATACCACCATTTTTGGTTTTGGATCTTCCAAATCATTCCCGCAGGAGATCCGGACCCGTTTTGTTCTGATCCTTCGAGAAAAAGATTCATTCTCTTCATAAAAATCAAAAATAGGAGGTAGAACCAATAAAGATTTCTTTTTCGATTCATCCCTGTCCTGATTCAAGAATTCTTTTTGATCCAATCCATAGGATTCAATAGAAAAGGCAAATCCCTTATGATACATCAGATCCGGCTCGGTTATTGATAGAGTGAATAGATCTGCCATTTCTTGAAATCTCTCTTCTGATTCAAAATCGTGGTGTAAGGTGTATCCTCCCCTGTTCCGGTCATGGAATAGATGAAATAAATCCAAAAGTGGATTTTTGTTCAAGAATGAAATCTTATTGGAACTGTCCATATCCGGTTCATCCTTCAGAACCCTATCACACCCCGGATCTGATGAAATAGGATGAATTGAGACAGTATTGTGTAAATACGGAATTATCTTGAATATATTAACCAGTTCTTTATTTTCCGATCGCCTCGAAGGGACAAAAGAAAGATCTTGTTCTTTCTTCAACAATTTCTGATCTCTAGTGGACCTCTCAGTAGGATTCGAACCCAGATGAAGTTCTGACCATGTATCAGAGAAAAAAGAATGAACCGATTTTTTAGGATTCCCAAGAAATTCTTCGATTTCTTCCGTTTGACGAAAGGAAGGATCCAAAAGAATCGATCTTTCTTTTAGTGGTTGATTGATCAATGTGTGATATTCCGAATCCTCATTACTAATGGAATCCAAATCATCTCTGGATTGATCAGAAGATCCTTTCAGTTGGCTAGAATCCCTCCTTTTTCCAATCCAGTTCCTCCACCACCGCGAACCCCAGTTAGATTCAGGCGTGCTAGACTTTTTAGTTATTGGGAGAACCCAAGCACTCTCTTTCCGATTCAGGAAACAACTATCAGAGATCTTTTTTCCTTTTGGAAGGTAGAGGAGCGAAACAATCAAC